TTCTACCACTTCCTCTGGAAGAATCAATACTTGAAGCCTAGAAACAAATTATTTAGGCAAGAATATGTATACGTGGTGGTGTTGGGCAACTAATTATGTCATAACAGCAGAGCCACAGCTTTAATAGCTTTTATAAATTTATCATTTATTTTATAAATTTCTCATTTGAGTTGGGAGAATATTCTTGGCCATTACAAAAAATGAGTCAAAGATTATTTGAAAAAAACTCACTGGTTTCTCTATAGATGATAACTGGCAGTTCAGCTAGACTCGCTTAGAAATGTATTCTCTCCGCCCTTTAGGTTTGCAGCTTAATTTGTTTTACTGAATAAATAAATACTGTGGTTGATAGAGATATTCACGTCTATTGGGCAGGCTCATCTAACCTGTTGTTTTTCTTCCAAAAGTGGGAGTGTAAAAGTGATTTTTTAAAAATACGTCTGGGAGTTTTCTAATAATTCCAAATTGTAAAGTATATGACTTTTGTCTTAATATTTTCACCCCTAGTTCTTTGGAATGCTTGTGGCTGTAGAGCTCTTCAGGCACATGGCTGAATGATGTGTGGGTGACTGGGGCTCGGCAATGGCTTTTCTTCGTGATAGGCAGAACCATAGAATCGTTTAGGTTGGAAAAGCCCTCCAAGATCGTCAAGTCCAACCATTAACCTAACCCTGCCATCCCACTGCTAAACCCTGTCCCTAAGCACCTCATCTGCCTGGCTTTTAAATCCCCCCAGGGGTGGGGACTCGACCCCTTCCCTGGGCAGCCCCTTCCAGTACTTGACAACCCTTTTGGGGAAGACATTTTTTCCCAATGTCCAACCTAAAACTCTTCTGATGCAACTTGAGGCCGTTTCCCCTCATCCCATCGCCCGTTCCCTGGGAGCAGAGCCCGACCCCCCCCCGGCTCCCCCCTCCTGTCAGGCAGTTGTAGGGAACGATGAGGGCTCCCCTCAGCCTCCTCTTCTTTCTCCCGGCTGAACACCCCCAGCTCCCCCAGCCGCTCCCCATCAGCCTTGGGCTCCAGACCCCTCCCCAGCTTCGTTGCCCTTCTCTGGGCACGCTCCATCATATAATAAGATCATCTAATAGAGAAGTTTGCTTCTGTTATTTATTATTGTAATATTTCGTTTCTGTCTCACCAGTCTGTGGCATATATGTATACCAGTAACAGTACTTTCAGCAGATGACTCTCACCCGACAATATATCATGATAACCTTCGCACATCACGTAATTTAGAGAACAGTTTGAGATTTACGGCAGTGCCTTGTAACAATAAGTGACTGATGACTGTATATATATTATTAATAACAACATGTTTTTCTCAGTACAGTGCACCAACAGAGAAGTGTTGGATAGAATAAACTGCCCTCCGTTATGTAGCACAAATCCCACAAATCATGTAGTGCATCTTCTGCTTGTTTGATCTGAGAAGGCAGCGAGTGCTCCTTACCACATTCTTCCTTCTTTTCATGATAGCCATTTTGCATTTTCTGCTCTCTGAAGCACTGCTGGGAGGATGGAGGGCGAGGGATCAGCCTGGTAGATGCAGCGTGCCAGCGGAGCACCAGCAGTTAGCCTGGATTTGCAGCACAAGGCCTGTTTTGTTCTCTCCCTTCCTCCCTGTGCCCTCCCTGTGCCCCCTCCCTGGGCTGTCGAGAGAGTATTTATCTCTCAGCTGGAAAGGATGGAAGCTCACAACTATATTATATATACCACAGATCAAAATCACGCTGTCAAAACATGAAAATATCTCAATAATTTTCTTTTTCGTTTTAACTGTCAGCCTCGAGATACCACTTGCTCTCGAGCTCCTATGCATAATGTGTGCCAGCTCACTTCTGGTTCTGCTCTTGTTAAAATGTAAAGCAACAAATTCCCTGGCAGTCTCTGCAAAGGAGTGTAATATAACTTTCATTACAAGAAAGTGGTGAACATAATGTGACTCCTTAACAGCTGCAATAAGCAATGTGAAGCTATTAACATCTTTTCAAAACAAGTAACAAGCGAGAGGTTATTTTTCATCTCTACTCCTAAAAAAATGGCATGTTATTTTGAGCAGATAACATTTTGTTTGCACTTATCTGAACTAAGTAAATTTTTACAGGCATTCTCTATTCCTTTGTGAAATTATGAAGACATTAAAAACTAATGCCAGAAGACACTCTTAATGGCTGGATTTCAAAATGAAAATGTGGATGTTAAATTTCATGTATGGGAAAGGTGGCAGCTAAGGGGATTTTAGTTCGCCCTTCTTTTCCCTTTAGATTTATGACTCCATGAGAATTGCCTGTTCCTTGTTTATTTTTACGTCAAGCTATTTGGTTCTCATTTGGGTATTCTCAAAAGGTGAGACAGGTCTGATGCTTTCCAACTCCTTATTAAGGAACCAAGGTCTTTGGAGATAGGTAAGCCATTGCAAATACAAATGGGAAATAAAGGAAAAAGAATGGAGACTGTCGGTGTTGAGGTATGCAATTAGTAGACGGAACAGAAAGATTTTTAAAAGTTCAGTAGTCACCGTTGATAATCAAAGCCTTAATAAGTGACTTTTTTTTTGAAGTGTAGCTTAAAGTCCCAAAGGACAAATGCTGTCTGGTTTGCATATTTTGGCAGCTGAGTCAGGGTTCCCCACATAGGGTGATTATCACGGAAGTCAGTAGCTAAAGTTCTTTTCCATAGCATGAGGCTGTAGCAAAGAGTGGCACTGGGTTTCCTCAGTGCCTATGATATATCTTATGATATGTCGTATTAAAAACGTTGTCTCAGTTGAATGAATTCTTTAACACTCTGCGAGAGGCTGTCAGCTCCGACATAGGACGGGACGATGGTATTTCATAAATACTGCCCCAAATAGATGCATTGTCTCAGTTGAATGAATTCTTTAACACTGTGAGAGGCTGTCAGCTCCGACATAGGACGGGACAATGGTATTTCATAAATACTGCCCCAAATAGATGCCCAAATACGCAGAGTTTCTGTAACGTACACTCTTGCTGAATAAAGGCAGAGCTGGAGTATCCAGAGTCTAAGATCCTGATTTGAAAGGTGGGCATCGGTAGAGCAGCTCAGTTCTACAACCTTTCCAGAGTTATTTCTCCGATCTTGTGCGTAGATTATTATCTTGTATTTCACAACTGTATGATCATTGCATACCAAAGTGATTAGTTAACTTTTTTGTTCTCTGAAGGATGTAACGGGATTATTTTTTTTTCATGTGATTTACTCTTGCAAACATAAATCAGGCTATTGTCTTCAAGAGTGGAAGCTTTGGAACCAAAAATACAATTTGGAAGTAAAACATTTTTCAGCTGCAAGTAATAATAATAGTGATTGCCACTTAGTGATCTTTGAGTTGGTAGAAACAAGCCATCGAAATGATAATTGCAGGATTCATTGGGATTTAGATTGATTAACAAACTAGACAACCAAGTGGGCAGTGTACATCGAGCCAGAACTCTGGCTCATGTGAAGTCAGCAGAGCTTATCTGGAATCAGTGGAGCAAAGCCCATTTTATTCCATTTGCCCAAAGAATAAACATATGCCGTGTCAGAAATAGACCCGTTGGAAACAACTGCTGCTGCATGGGATGATGATGAAAAATAGCTGGAGAAAGACACAAGGGTGATTAGACTTCTTTAAAGCTAGACAGCTGACTTAAGGATGTAAATGGGGCCAGCCTGGCATTACGGTGGAATCATCGTTGTATGCTGCAATGACATGAAGGTGCACTTGCTAACATCTTTCTCAGCTCTCTTCAGTAGGTGAAAGAAATTCATATATGTTTTAAACAGGAAGGAGAGCTGTTACAGATACCTCCTGCAATGAGCCTTTCAGAAAAACTGAGATAATTTAATTTGGTTTCCACTGGAGTTGAGGAAATTCAGTGTTTGCAATTGCCAATCAATTAAAATCTATTTTATTCTTTAGAAGTGTCCTTTGAAATTGTGTATTTTTATGTATTGGAAATGCAGAATTTAAAGCGTTCAGGGAATATATTCTCTGTAAAGAAATTGTGAATTACTTTTGAATCATTTCATTATAATCTCCCAACTCATTGCTTGATGGTATAGTGTTTATGTCAAGATTTTCGCAATCTCAAATCTAGATTGTTCTGTTTTGTTGAAATGGGGACCACTTTTGAAATATCTGAACTAAGCTTAACATGAAGAAAAGAACCTGTAGTGAGGGTGAAAAGCTAAAATACCTGCTTCTCAAAGTAAGCACGCTCAAGCAACTTATTCTTTTTATGTGGTTTGTGGTCCATGTATGATCTATGCGGTGTGACAACCTATAGCCTCAGTCACATGGCATAATTAAATTAACATAAGCTTTCCTTATCTCAGAAAGAAAAAGTTCTTTCAGATCATTCATAAATTTTAAAAGGGAGTCATATTGTAAGTGGGAGCTAATTTTCTTTTCCCATTATCTCCTGCCATTCTGTGATATGAGAACACTTTGTTCTCTACAACAGTCTTCACTCAGAGCTTTGGTTTCTCACAGAAGTCATTAACTAGTAAAGACGCTGGATCTTTGTAGACATCTTCACCAAGGCGTGCAGGTGGACAAATCCCAGACCCAAGGAGGGGTTTCATTCCAGCTTAGTGTTCCTCATTTATGCCTCCTCTTCTTGCCTGAATGCACATTGACAGTTCCTGTTACAGAAATGGGTTTAGATCCAGGAAATGTGGCTTCATAGAATTGTTCATCCCACGCTGTATTTTAACATTATGGGCTGTCTTAAACATTAAAAAATTATCATTATGTAGAGTCTTTTGGTTTTTAAATGTGCGTGCTTATCTCCTCTTTAATTATGTTGTTTACTTGATGTCTGCCTTTCTTGTGTGGTTTTATTTAACATGAGCCTCTGCTTTCTTTCACTGACTTACAGGTGAAATATTTGACTATAAGTTTTATTTCCTCTGTAATTATATTTGTTACAACAGAAAAAACCCCAAACCTATGCCAGTCTAACTGTTGGTTTCCCTTTTCTTACTAGTTTGCTGTTTTGTGGTTCATAAGAGATGCCATGAGTTTGTTACCTTCTCTTGTCCTGGGGCTGACAAGGGACCTGACACTGATGTAAGTACATTGACATTTAATATGTTGCTTTTACGCCTAGTTTTACGTTGTTACGCCTAACTGTGCGAATGCGTTACAAACAACATTGGTAAGGTCTTTATGACAGATTAAGTGTAGTCCTGGTGGTTTTTAACAGTTCTGAAGTGAATATTTAAGGACTTTCGAGATCTATTTTTGATAAGAAAAGTAACTACGAATGTGTGGCCAAGATCAATATCCCTTAGAATGTGACAACCCTGAGGTCTTTACCCAAGCATGAAGTCAGCTTTTTATTCTTGTTTGCTTGGTCCTTGTCCTCTGTACACACAAGGATCTATAGCTCCAATTAGATGACAGTTTAATCTTGAGCCAGCTGGCTTATCTGAGATAGGTTTTCGAAACAGCTATATTCATGCCTGAGCTAGTACGCCAGTCGGGATACACCCAGTCTGTCAATACTTCTGTATACACGTCGCGGTTTTGGTCGACAACTAGTTTTTACTTTCAACGCATCTGCCTACATGGTGAAACACACGTACGAGAGTTTTGTGTCGCCCTGCTGAAGTAATAAGCTAATCTTGTTTGTTCACATAAAAATAACGTTTTCTTTGGGGTTTATAAATTCCACTTTACAGTGAAGTAATTTAACATCTGCTTATGGGAACAATACATTCCAAGTGTTCTTTGTCTGAATGGCTCTGTTTTGTTTCTTATAACATATTCATGCTCTAGATTGTAGGTTATTATCTCCTCTGATGAAATGCTCTAGAAGACTTTTCTTGCTAGGTTTTAATGAGCTTCTTGTGGATTGTTTTAATATGCTAGCCATGAGATTGATGAACAATATATGGGCAGAAGCCACAACGGGTTTTAGAAAACTTGAGATGTTAAAATGTTTCCTTAATTTTAAATTTAAATACAGGAGAAGGTCAGAGAACTGTGAAGAATTTAAAAACAGTTTATTTTTTAAACATTTCACATGATCTGAATTTAGTTACATAAGAAAAATGCTTAAGTTAGGCATGTAGTTACCCTGTTCAGTGTCTCCTGTTTTGCTGATAGAGACAGTCACTTCCAGAGAGCAAACCAGGTCTCAGGTGGCCTTGGTCATACCTGTGGTTGGTCCCAGATGGCCTCAGTCATACCTGTCGTTGGTCCCAGGTGGCCTCGGTCATACCTGTCATTGGTCTTTCTCCACTGGTCGCAGAGAGAGTGGAGCAGGGGTGAGGTCTGACAGTCTCGTGGCAGCACTCTGAAGTTGGTGGTGGAAACACTGCTGTCCTCAATGTCTGTCCCTCCTCTTCCTTCCCCTGCCCCCTCCCCACTTATGGAGGTGACCCTCTCCTGAGCCTGCTCCGGCACGCTGCCCTTCCCCAGAGGTTGCCTGGCTTCAATGACTACTACCTTGGCAACTGCTCACAACAGAAGAAGCTTCACAGTACTGGAAATATCACTGCTAAAATCAACTGAGTGATATTAAAAATATAATTGTAACTGAAGCCTTTCTTTTCACCTTTCCATCTTTTTCTATATTCAGTTCTGGTAACTCATGAAACGCTCTGTTTTCATTTCATTTATATCTGTATCTCCAGCCGTCTTTTTCCTCCTATTCATTTTTTTGCACTTAGCTCCTCATCTCAAATTTTCTTCGTCAGCCACTCTTGCTGCAGTCCTGGTCACTCGTTGCCATTTAAGAGCCACGATGCCCCAAAAGAGCATTACTTCAACGGTGAGATTCAGAGTGTCTGAGCTAAGGGCCCTGCTATGTATGGATGCAGTCACCAGAAGTTAAGGACACCCGCAGATCAAGTCAGAGAGTAAGATTCAAGAAGTCAGGATTTGAGCACGGAGCAGTTACACTGATTACCTGTGCAAAGGACATGGATGTTGCCAAAGGTTCATTAAGGATGTTGAATGGGACCAGGGTGTAGGAAATACCAGTGCAGCTGCGAAGTGTTCCTTGGGAGTTTTGACAGGTATTCAGGGCTGCACATAAAGCATCTCTTTCCACTTAGCGTACAGCACAGCTTTCTTGAATAAAGTCATTTAACTGAGCCAAGGTCCATTTTTGTGACAGAATTCAAAGGAAGAGACTTTTGACAATAATGTCATAGTTAGAACACTTGTTGGAAGCTGATGTTACAGCCATTCACTGAACCTGCAGGAAGGAAGCCAGCCTTCAGTCTGGTGTTGCTCGTAGCCTTTCTTAGTGCATTTTATCAAAGGAGACTCTACTATTAAAACTATCATGAAGGCAGGAACAAGGAACCAAAATTATTCTTCATACCCTTCGTTTTCTGAAAGTTCTTGAATTCTTTAAGCTTTGAAGGGAAGTGTGGAGTTTGGCTCTGTCTATATAGTGTAACAGGTAAAGTGGTCTTTGGGAATTTGGAAGTTGTGGATTTGAAGTGCTTTGAGCCGCAGAAAGGCTAAAATCCAGGTTTCCCCTGTCCAGGTGAATGTTCTTGTCACTGAACTAACATACAGAGGGTAGGTGGCAAGACCTACTCTCTCCCTGTCTCCTGTTTCTAAAAGACAGTAGCCATAGCTGCTACTTTTTGTTGCTGTCCAGATGACTTTAGGTATAGTCGACCCATTTGCATCCCACTGGATGGCATTCAGGTGATTCTCTGAATTCTGTAATTCTCCATATGCCTTCTCTATTGTGTACGTGGGCAGTGCCAGTACCGACGTTGCACTGCGCTGTCTGCTGCGGGACCTGCTTTCCTAGCAACTCTCAGCCAAAGTTGGTTAGGCAACAATTTCCACATCAGGTGAGTGAGTTATTGCCAAACTCAGTAAGGGTCACCATACAGATATGAGCCAGGGTCAGTGCCAGTGCCAGATCCATCCTGATGCCAATGGCAAAATACCTGTTGAGCATCAGAGGGGCCAGTATTTCAGCCACAGTCTGAACAATTACACAATGTCTCTTTAATTACTCGTTCTCTAAGTGTAGTTCAAACCTACATGCAATACGTTGCTGATTTGCTTTGGTTGGTCCTAAAACACAAGTAGAATAAAACAATTAAATCTAGTTTTATCTTAGTACTTGGTTGTGGTTGTTGATCAATTAACATTAAGATGTTAATGAAAGTTATCGTTGGTTGACAATTTTAATGGTGCCACTCAGGAGTAGGGCTGCTGTATCTATAACGCATGGCTTGACTCTTGAAAGTGTTCTTTATTTTTTTAAAACATGGGTTCTTCAGGGTTTTTCTTCTAAAGTTCATAAATAAGAACACACATCTGTGTGTGAGACCATTTAATTTTGTTGAGAATTTCTGCATGGTTATAGGATCTGTTATGTGGCAGGTTGTTAATAGTCTTTAATATTGCTGACTGCATTTTGTGATTTGGTTTTTTGGCCTTGGTGATTAAATAAATCAGCCTAATGCCTTATTTTAGTATTTGGGTTACCAAATGATCATTTTCAATATTCACACAGAAGTGATCTCTCCAAAACACTTTGAAGATTAAAAGCAAACAGAAAATAAATATGTTTTATTAAAATTGTGCTACATTAGTGGGTCCTATTACACAAAGAGGATTGTAGAATGTTATACTTTAATTTACTGAAATGTCTGACTAGAATGTCTACAATTCAGTAACTTATTTCCATGCGAGTTAGTACAAGCTTCGTTCTGAAATGTAGTGTGCTATAAAGCTTATCATCATGTTTAGCAGATTTTAAATATTAAAAAGTCCTTTTCTAAATTATTTCATGCAGGTGCACAATTAATTTGCATACTCAAATTCTCCAGTATCTTTGCATGATGTATCCTTTCCACTAATTGTAAGAGTAATATTGTCATTAATAATATCAAAATTTCCAGAGCAATAATTATAAATGATAATAATTATATATTATAATACTATTTTTTTACATATTATAATAATTTTAAATTATCATACACTGTTCCTTTAGCATGACTGTGGCAATCCTTACAAATACATTGTTAGGGTAATTATCAGTTAAATTTGTTTTACTTAATAAGGAGAACCCGAAGTCTAACAGCCAGATAGGTGCCCCGCAATGGGGGGCAGCCAAGGTTAAAATGCAAAACATTGCAGTGTCGAAACATTTCCCACTGAGAGGCAAAAACTGCCTCTAGGAGCCAAGGGGGGCATTTCTGGCCGGCAGCTCCTGCAGGTAAGCACTCAGAACGTCCCTGCTGAGGCCAGAGGTATCTGGGCCATGACGGCAAGGACTTATTTATAGATTTGTCTTGAGGCGAGATAGGATGGCATTCACGCTACGTGCCTCCAGGGATATGGAGAGTTTCTGAGCCGTAGGCTTTATTGGTCTGTTAGGAGGTCTCCGAAGGGGAGAAAAGCCATAATTTTTAGAAACTTCATTCTGAATTTCGTGAAAGCAAAATGTCTATCTGTGGCTAAAGGGCGGGCTCGAAGTATGTGTTTAAAATAATGCTCTTTTGAAAGAGAGAACTGAGCTACTTTAAATTAAACTGTGTACAGAGAGATTTCTATCATGTAGTTCTTTTCAAAGCTGTTCCTAACATTTTTTGGCTGCAGCAATCCCCAGCGGAAAGGGGGAGCTCCACTGACAATTTCAGTAATTTCTCTAAATATATTGAACAGTTGCAACCAAAGTTATTTTTTTTTAATTTCTAGGTATTTAAATATAGTCAAAACAACAAAAGAGATTTCAGACTCTACTGTCCACAGACCTTTTCTTATTTCCTAGCCTTTCTTACATGCCATATAGCGAAGTATTTAATACATTCGGACTACTCAGCTGTATAAAACTCCCGTGGTCTGTATCACGCTAAAAATAGTGGTGTACAAATATTGTCTCCTCATGTAACATTTTTATGTGCTACAATATTCTATCGCTGTAAAAGAGGGAATAGATTATTTTCGTTACTTTAAAATTAATGTAAAGATGAGCAAAAAAGAGAGAAAAGCTTAAAATCACCCTCTTTTTGCTGAGTGTGAGGTTGAAAAGTCTGTGTTTGTGCCAGAAGGAAAACAATACTTGTGCATGAAGTGATTGCCCT